GCCGCGCCGAGCGCCGCGCCGCCGCCGCCGCCGCCGCCCACGCGGCCGCCGCCGTTGCGCCGCCGCCGCGAAAGCCCGCCGGCCGACGCCGCGTCCTCTTCGCCGCTGTCGTCGCTCCAATGGATGGAGGCGTGCGGCGACGCCTTGCCGTTGCCATTGAAAAGGGCACCGCCCGCGCCGTTGGCGCCGGCGGGCGAGGCGTTGAATTCGATGCCGTCCCTCATTTTGGACCACGGCCGCTGCTTGGACGCCGAGCGCGTCAGCGGCGCCATAGTCGGGTGCGGGGAGCAATAGGGGCCGCCCTCTCTAAGAGCGACCAACGCTGGAACGCGCGCAGAGGCGCTGCGACGCGCCTGCGCGGCTCGCGACCGCTGGCAACCCTCGCTCCGAAAAGGGCCCGCCGCCGCGGCTCACGCGCTCACGCCCTCTTCAACGAGGCCGCCGGCTGGGGTCCCTTTTCACGCCTCCTCCCCCGCCTGCTGGGCCTCCGCCGCCCCCTCCGCCGCCTCCGCGGGCTGCTGCTTCCGCGGCCGCCCGCGCTTCCGCTCCCCGCCTGCGCCCGCGCCCGTCCCCGCGCCGGCGCTGCCTTCTGCGTCTGGCGGAGGGATCGGCTGGGGTCCCTGGCAGCGGGAGGTCTTCTCCTCTGCAATAATTGTCTTGGACTCTGGAGAGCGAGCAAAAGCAGGGGCAGCGAAAGGGGCAGGGGAGCCTTTGCATGGGAGATGGCCACCCAAAAGGCAGCTGCCAGGTTGATGGCTGCGCAGCTGGCGGCCGGCTGTGAGCAAGCGCCGCATTGATGGAGCAGCCCGCCTGTGCCTGAGCAGCGCCACGCCGCGCAAGCAAAAAGCCGCCCCCGGCTGCAGCAAGCGGCAGCAGCATCGTGTCCCTGTACCAAAAGGCGTCGCCGGGGCTGGCAGCGGAGCGGTTGTGGATAGGGGCGGCGCACCAATACAGGCCTCCAGCAGCGCCGCGCGGTCTTGGCAGCGCTTGGGGATGATTGGGGCCCTTCCTGCGCTGCTGCCAATGCCAATGCAGTCCTCGATTGCGCGTACTGGGGGGAGTCCCCGGGTTGGGGGGTTGGGAGAGTGAGGGGTGGGCAGGTGCAGGGTGCGGCAGGGCTGCCCAAGGGATTGGTTGGCGGTTGGGTTGGGCCTGCTGCGGCAGAGCAAGGGCTGCATGAGGCGCTTTCGCGGGTGAGACGCGCTCACCTTCTGCGGGGCACAGGCCCGAGAATATGCACCAGCCGGCGGAAGCTGACAGGTGGGAGCAATAAAACTGCGGGACAGCACGAGTGCAGCGGCGGCATGTGTGTGCACAGGAGCAGTCCTTGCAGCGACCGCCTTCAGCTGGCCGGCACAAGCGCCATGAAATTCATAACTCGTCTTTCACACGTTCCGCACGCGCCCAGACACTACTAGCTGCAGGTATGCAAATGAGCTCCACCAGATCGCGCACGTCAGGATCGCGCTTGTGCTTGCGTTGGCAATCCTGCAGAGCTGCAATGACTCTTGCACAGCTCATGAAGAGTTTGCGGACGTCCACAGCTCGTGGGCCCCACGAGCTCTATGATTTCCAGACTGTGCAGAGAAGCTCTTGATGAATGTTATTGATTTTCGACCACCATAAAGCGTGCAAGATCAGTCGGCCGCGCTTGGCTTTCACAGTGGCGATGGCTCCGCACCTGCTGGCCGGCGGCCCACCCAGGTTCCCCTTGCACTGCTGTCCCAGTGACGTCCGCAAAGGCCCATGTGATTAAGGCAGTAAATGTGTCGCTGTGCTGCTGGTGTTAAAAGCACAGCGAACCTCTATTGGATTGTGCACCCCCATTCCACAGAGCCTAACGTATCCCATCACCCAGTCCGCACACCCACTACTACTGTCCAGCAGGACGCTGGACTCTGTCGCGCCGCACGCGCGTGACGCGACCACGCTCACGCGACCACGCACGATAAATTTCAAACTATGGCAGTGGGCATGCGATTCACATGAGGTGTGACAGGCCCCTGCAGGTGCCAGCTGCACTGCGGCAGCTGTGTGAGCGAGACACCCTACCTGGCATCCTCCGCAGCTCAATGTGCACGTAATGTTGTGTTGTATGAAGAGATTTTGCATCACCACAACCACATATACTGCAAGCGTCGCCATTGGGCAGCGCCTGAATAGGCTTTGTGGCTCACTTCATCCCTGCCTGCAGGAACCCGCCTTGACGTGAATTGACTTGTTTGACTGTTGTGCCTGGACGCCCCATGAAGCATATGAATACGACCTCGGATTTGATTAAGTTGAGGGTTATGACAGTGGTCTCTTCAAACCTATTGTCCTGGCGTCGGCTCGACTCGCCTGGTGAACGCGATCTGGGCAGTTGAGTTGCCAGTAGAGTGACTCGGATAGGACTTGAACTGTTATTGCGAATAATAAGGAAGCGCGGAGTGGCCTCGGACGCGTGGTGTTGACCCGACCGCTTTGACCGGCCGCCCCTTCGCCTCGAAGGCCGCTGCCGCAGCGAGGGTCCTTCCAAGCACCATGGTGATTGGGCAAAGCGCTGACTCGGCTGATGTGGCACCGCTTGACGGATATCCCGCCTTCACTGCCGCCGCCGCGGCCCGGCCGCCGCACCAGCCCCGCCGCCACTGCCACCTCGGCCCGCTGCCAGCTCACCACCCCGACACCGCCCCCTGCTCTTTGTACGCTGCCTGCCCAGGACGGCGCCGCGCGCCCCCCGCTGTCGCTGCTTGTCGTGGAGGCGTTTGCCGGAACCTATCCCATCGCCAACGCAGCCCCCGCGCTGGCGGAGAAGGGCGCCGCACGCATCACTGGCTACGTGGGCATCGAATGGGACAAGCCTAGCCGCGCGCCGCGGCCAGAGCAGGTGGGGGCGGAGACCCGCACCATACACACTCCAACGGCCCCCGTGGGCATTGCTGGTTGCAAGCACATTCTGGCGCGTGCAAGCGAGGTGGCGGCTCTCAGCAGGCTTGCGTCATCCTAGAGGCTGGGCTCGAGGGGGATCCAACACCAGCCCCACAGCGGCAGCTGGCACGGGCACCTCGACCCATGTAAAAGCACCGTCGCGCGCGGCGCCCGGAGGGGACGCACGACAGGTGCAGCACAGCACTTGTACGTCGCCTCGCACAGCAACCAGAGCTCCTCTCACCGCGGCCCAACCCCACCCCCTTCGAACACACTCTCACACACATACGGTACACTGTTATACACACACGCAAAGTCACATGCCTCACACCCCACGACCACCCCCCAGATCGGCCTCCCCCATGAGGACTTCCTGAACTTCACCGGCGACCCCAGGGGTGACGTCACCGACCCCCGGGTCCACGAGGCAGTTATCGCCTTCGTCAGGGCCCGCGTCGCCGCGTCAGACGCCGTCGTCGTCGCCGGCGGCCCCCCCTGCCAGCGGTACAGCACGGCTGCGTCCGCGCGGAGCCGCTTCCCCAGGCGGTACGACGCCATGGAAGCCGACCAGGAGCTGCTCGCCGCATTCGACGCGCTCGGCGCCGCGAAGACGGAGCTGGCCGCTTGCGGCCCCTCCCTCGGCGACCTGGCGGCCGCAGGGGCGCGGGTGTCTACGGCGGCGGCTGCTATCGAGGCTGCGAAACGGGTCAGCCTGGACGCCCACGCGCGGGCCAAGGTGGAGGCGGAGCAGGATGCTGGGGGCCTTTGTGATGCTGACGAGGTTGTGAGGTCGTACCTCTGGCTCTACAAGGCGGTTGAGGCGGAGGCGCGGGCGGCGGGGAAGCCGTGCTATATCGTGATGGAGAACCCCTACTCCAATCGCTACCGGGGGCTGTGGAACAGGTGGGGGCCGAGGGGTTGGCAGCCTTGTGGCGATTGAGCAAGTGTATGGAGTATGGCTTTGAGGGTGGTAAGAGAGGGGCAAGAGAAGGGCGGCAGGATGTTTCTGCCGCATGCAGCTGATACAAGAAAAGCACCTGCACAGCCAGCTATCGATAGTGCCGCATGTCCTTGAACACCCGCTTTGTTCAGTGCGCTTGCAGCCAACGGCATTGGTGACTTTTCTCACACCCTTTGCCGGCCCCTCCCTCACCATTGCGCCCGCCCTCTCACCCAAACGACCCCAGGCCCTTCATGAAGCTCAACCACCTGCTCCACCTGCCCAAGGCCCCTGCCGGCGGCGCCGAGTCCCGAGAGAGCAGCTTCCTCGCAGCTTCCTCCACCGCCTGGCTGCGCTGCGTGTGGACCAACTACTGCTGCTACAACGCGGAGGCCCCCAAAAAGGACACGATCATATTCACAAACATGCCAGAGGATGCCCTTGCCGAGCGCCGCTGCAGCAGCCGCAGGACGCAGCACGGCTTAATCCCGTCGTCCTGCAAGGTCGGGGGCGGCGCCGATCACGTGACGATCAAGGGCACGAAAGGGGCGCAGGAGCGCGCGGCGTGGCCTCGCGAGTTCGCGCTTGCAGTGCTGGAGGGCTGCGCCGCCGCCGCGCGGGGCGGGGCGGCTGGGAGCGCGGGTGGACGGGCGCCGCGGCCGGGCGGCGGCGAGAACGGCACAGAGGCTTCGGTTGGCAAGTTGGCTGAGATGACGGCGCGGCTGGCCGTCGCGCCGCCTGAGGAGCTCCCGGAGCCCTTTGACTGGCACGGCATCGGGTCGCAGCCGCTTCTTGTGACCGCAGAGGCGGCCGGAACCGCGGGCGCCGCACTGGGCGGCGAGGAGGTGCCGGATGCGGGCGACGAGGGGGCCGGCGAGTGTGTCGCGGCGCGCGCAGCCGGGCAGCTCTGGAAGGAGCCGTGCGGCTGCGGCGATTGCGCCGAGCTTCTGCCCGGCATCGCCGCTCCGCTGGGCCAGATTGTTGCCAAGCCCCCCGCGGCGCCGCGCGCGGGCCGCTCGCGCAAGCCCAAAGCCAGGCAGGCCGCGACCGCGGCGGCGCTCTCGCGCGTGCCGCTGCCGCCTGTGGGTGCTGCGCGTCCGGCGGCGGCGGCCGCAGGCGCGGCGGCGCGACCGCGGCGGGTGCTGGTCTGCAGGCTGCCTGTGAGGCGGCCGATGTTCGCCCCTGCGGCAACTGCCGCACACAGGGCCACCCGCTGGCTGCGTTGATCATCATCATTTTTTGCCACGCGGGCTGAAGCGGCTGCGCAAGCGTTGCTGATTGATTTCTGCAGGTTGCACCACACGGCAGTTGCCCCTTGCATTCCCCGATTGGCATGTGCTTTTTGCCGGGCACTACCTCTCTGGTCGCCGTGAATCGGCTTCGCCGTCGCAAGAAGCTCGCAGGCGCACCACTCTGCTGACGCGCAGAGGCCGCAGCTCTCATTCTTTTCACGCCAAGCATTGATGGCTCCTGGCATTGATGGCGCCTTACTAAGGCGCAGTAGTAGAGCGCAACGCAGCGCACGCGCACAACCCATGGAGGGAAGTCCCTGGAGCTGCGCTGCACTTCACCTACCTACGTACCCGATTTGTGCCCAATTTCTGTTTCTCTCCCTTGTCTGGCAGTTGTGTGATCGACGACCTGATAGCGCCATGGCCCCGGCCAGCGGCACCCCACGGAGTAACAATGCAGCAAGCTGTACTGGCAGCCCTCGCTGGCGCTTACAGTAGCAGGCCGCGTCCGACTGGCGCCTCATGCGTGCATGCTGCAAGCGGTGTAGAGATGCAACGACGGCCGCTCGCTGCCCTCGCATGGCGCGCGCATGCATATGCGTGGCGGCGGCCAAGCGCAAGGCGGCCGGCACGCGAGTGACTGCCTCAAGGGATGTCAAAGACATGAGCTGTAGTCAGACCAGCCGGGGAATAAAAGCCGAAACCTATGGAACTTGCCCGTTGCTTTGGGCAATAGAACATATCAGCTGGCAATCTGGGCCAAAGCACTCCGGTCGAGCCCGCATGCTTGACCGGTGCAGTTGCCAGCGTTGTGCAGTGTGTGGTGTGTGTTTAGGGGGAGGAGGGCCCCTGCGCCCTCAGTGCCCTTCTTGAGAGCCGGCGGCCCAAGTAACCCCTGCAAGAACAATAGACTCTCCTGCAAACATGTACGCATGCATCGCGCCGCAGTGTGCGAGGGCGTGGGCACAGGCACCAAGCCGCCCGCGTGGCGACGTTTGTGCGCGCGCCGCAGCAGCGAGCACGAGAGGAAAGCGGGCCCGCACCTGCCCTGGCAATGACCGTGCCGGCTGACACCCAGTTATGCATGTTCGCAGTCACGATGGAACGGCTCCGCCCGAGCGCCCCTGGCACGCGCGAGCTGCGCCGCTCCGTCACGCTGACTGCGCGCCAGCCGGCGCCGCAGCGGAGGTCGCTGCAGGGCGGCCCGTCCGCCCGCTTCACTCGCTCTTGGCGCAGCTGCTGGCGCGCCTCGCGGACGGCGGCGGCGGCGCCTGGCAACCGGCAGCTGGCATGTCGATGCCACTCCCCCACCCCTTGATGCCGCCAGCAGCCAACGTGACGGCGCACTGGGCGTCCCCGCCCTGCGCCGGCAGCACCCCTGCAGCTTCCCGGCAGCTGCTGAGGCCGCCTGCCTCGCAGATCGCCGTAACTGCCTGTGGGGCCTTTTCGCTGTGCGCACGCTTGATCGGCGCGATCGGCGGCCGGCCGGCGCTGCTGCTGCTGCTGCTCATGCGCCGAAGGGGTCCGGCCAGCGGCCCATGCGCTGTGCCGCTGACCGCCGCCTCGCCGAGCGCCCCAGCGGCCGCGCCCGCATCGATGCTGCCGCGGCGGCTGCTTCTCCGCCGCACCCGCTCGTCGCCGCAGCCGCCTTTTCCGGCGGCGGATTCGGGCGCCGTGGCGGCGGCGGCAGCCGCGGCTGCCGCCGCCAAGCCGGTGGCAGCCGATGCGAAGAGGGTGAGCTCAACGTCGCCCGGCCCGCTCCTGCCAGCCCGCGTGGCGCGGCGGCTGCGGGGCGCCCGGGTGTCGTCCTCTGTGCGCGGCACAGCGGGGCGGCGGCGGCGCAATGCATCCGGGGCAGTGGTGAGAAAAGCATGAGCTAGCATATTGCATGCCGAGCAGTCGCCATAGGCAGGGGTATGGCTCCTGCTGCCTTGGCTTTTCCCCCTCTCGGTGCAGGCCAGGCGAAGACGACCGCACACACCGGCTGCTCGGGTCCCTCCCCGCACCTTCGCCGGCGCTGCAGCGGCGCGACGCGGCGGCCGAGGAGACCGGCGCGCCCGGCAGCTGGGCGGCAGCTACCGTCCCGGGCGCTCGGCGCTCCTTCGCGTTCAGCGACGCGTCGCGGCCGTAGCCCGACATGAGGCGTGCAAACAGGACCTGGGCGTCCTCCCTGGAAGCCGGAGGGGCACGGCGGGCGGCCGACGGCGGTCAAGGAAGGCCATGGGTAAGTCAACGAGGGATCATACGAGGGAGAACTCCTGAATATTTTGGAATCAGAAGCGGTGCGCTCGCAAATCACGACGGCTCACCCGATCGGCAGCTGCTGCGTGGGGATATGCACAAAGTGGCGCGCAAACATGGCCGTGTCCGTCAGCAGCCCGTTGGCGCGCTTTATGTCGGACACCTGGTGCATGGGGGGACGTGCATTGAATTGGAGAGTTGGAGGTGGGGGAGCATCTGTGAGATGGCGGCGGGAATTGAGGCGGGGTTGCGGGTGGCTGGTGATGGGGACTTGGGGGGCCGAGCGCGGTGCAGCGCGCTTGCGGGGGAGGCGAGGCGGCCCCTGCGCCACGCGCCAGCTGCAGGGGGGGCCGCGAGGCGTGAAGAGGGTGCGTGGTGCAGGGTGCATATCCATGCCGGTGCACCAGCCAAGGGGGCTTCGACGCAGCATCCGCCTTGACCATGCGGCACACTGGATGGTGGTCGCACTCACCGTTATGTGGTATTTGATCGCCAGGCCCGCCAGCGTGTCCGTCTTGCTGATCTGTGCCGCAGAGGATGGTCGCCCCGGCTTGCATTATGGCGGATGGCGCAAGCAGCGGCGCGGACAGGCGAGCGCCCACGGAGCGGCAGCAGCAGGTGCAGAAGCATCGCGCGCCCGGACGTGCCGCAGGGCAGCCGCGCGCCTTGTGCTGGATGCAGTCCAGAGAACACGTCGAGTTCGATGGCTCGCTGGCCTCGGAGCACGGTGCCCTTGGCACGGCTCCCTCGCATGGGGGGACCCCCACCCATCGTTCGCAGTCCGCCATGACCGTCATCGCCGACGGCGCGGATTTACGACTGGAGATAACGATTTATATCGCAATGATCGCCGCACAAGAAGAGGGTGGCTTGAGGCTGCGGCAGTTTTTTGCGAGGTTACAAATCGATTGGATACCTCATAGTCAAGAATGCAAGTACGAGCAAGATAGAGTTCGGTGAAACACGCAGTCGATGGCTTGGCAACCGCAGCAGCCGGCGACGCTGCAATCAGCCTGGCTCAGGCTGGCTGGCTGTCTTCTCGTATGGGGCAGCGCACAGGCGACCGCCGCTCGCTGCTCGTCAAAACCGCCAGCTTGCACCAATACGCAACGCCGTTGCAGTGCCCGCGCCCGCCGCGCGCACGACCATCGCGCCGGGCGACAGCTCCAGGCCGTCCGCCAGCGGCAGCCGCCAGGACAGCTCGCACAGCAGCGGAGCCGCCCCGCTGCCGCCGCCGCTGCTGCCGCCGCCGCCGCCGCTGCTTGCAGGGCGCGCGAGCACAAGGCCCACCGCAGAACCCCCCGCGTCCGGCTGGCTGTGTAGCCCCACGCCCCAGCCGAAATCGGCGCCGCGGCGCGCGCCTGCGCCCGCGCCGCACCTCCGTCGGCCCTCCGCCCACGCCGACGCGACAAACGCGTCCCCCAGCGGGGCCGCCCCCACCACACCCGCGCTCCAGGCGCTGCTGCCTGGTGCCGGGGCCCCATCGGCGGCGCCCGCTGCCGCCGTACTGCGGCCGCTGCCCGTACCAGGCAGCCGCAGCCCCTCGAACCGCACGAGCCGCTGCAGCGCGCCCGGCGCTGCGTCTTCGGCGCTGCCGCTGCCGCCGCCGCTGCTGCCCTGCGCGCCTGACACGAGCGTGAGGCACGCGCCGTCGCGGCTGCGGAGGCTGACCTGCGCGCAGCCGCTGTGCATCAGCCGCCGCTCGTCGCCTGCAGGGGGCCGCGTTGCCGCAGACGCACCGGGGGATACTGCTTACCAGCCACGAGGGGTCAGGGCGGCGCTGCCCACAAAGCTTGAAGCTTCCAGAAAACAAAAACATGGAATCCCGCAGCATTGATTTGCACGCTGACTTTCGGCATCAAACGGCAACGCGCCGTGTCCCAAGGCGTCTCCTGCTCACCTGGCAACGGGCGACAGAAGAGGCCGGCGCTCCCCGAGACCGCGCCACCCCCGAAGCACAGCGCCGCCCCGCAGCCGCCGTCCTCCGGTGCGGCCAGCCCGTGCCCGCGGCGGAAGATTGCGGAGATCCCGTAGAACCGCGGCGCGTGCGGGTTGGCGCACGGCGCGGCGTCGGAGAGGCGGCCGCCGGCCGCCGCGAGCATGAGGCGCAGCCGCCGCCCGACCTCCGATCTGTATAAGAGCTGGGCAAATGTGGCGGGGATGGGGGGAGGGACGGGTGCAGTCGCGTACAGGCGATGAGTCAAATGCGCACAGGCAGCAGCAGCGGCGGCGGCAGCAGCAGCAGCAGCAGCAGCAGCAGCAGCAGCAGCAGCAGTACTACCAGCAGCCGCAGCAGCAGCAGCAGGGAAGGGGACCGAAATGTACGCGTGCGCGCCTCCATCTCGCACTACCAACACCCAACATCCCAAGTCCACCATAACCAGGCCAGCGGCCCCACCTGCTCCAGCCTCGCAAGGCCGCCCTCCCCCGCCTCCTGCGTCACCCTGGCCGTCAGCCGCTGCCGCACGCGCGGCGCCCTCCTCCGCGCGCGCGGCAGCAGCGCCGCCTCCAGCGGCTGCTGCTGCTGCTGCTGCCCCGAACTGCTGCCGCCGTCCGCCGCCGCATCACCGTCGTCGCCCAAAACAGAGTGCAGCCAGACATCAACGCCGGCCGCCCCCCGTGCCCCCTGCTCCTCCGCAGCCACCGCCGCCGCCGCC